GACGAGTCATGTCAAGGGCTAGTGACGAGTCATGTCAAGGGCTAGTGACGAGTCATGTCAAGGGCTAGTGACGAGTCATGTCAAGGGCTAGTGACGAGTCATGTCAAGGGCTAGTGACGAGTCATGTCAAGGGCTAGTGACGAGTCATGTCAAGGGCTAGTAACGAGTCATGTCAAGGGCTAGTGACGAGTGATGTCATGGGCTATCTATGATCCAAAAAAATGGTAATTTTTACAAAGCTACACTAACAAATCATATACTAATAAGGCACATCGAGCATGCATTTGGACAAAAATTTGCAGTTACAGCTGCCAATAATAGACAGAAATATTAACCTTCTATTTTTTAAATAAACTACCAGTCGATATTAATAGTTGTTTTCCTGCAATAAAAAGGTGCATGATTTGTTTTTCTCCACATACTGTTCAAATATAAAACATGTTGATAGTTAACATGAATATTACCGGTATAATGTTAACCAAACCATATTATGCAGTCTTATTTTCACATTAAACGTTACATGTGAAAATACACCATGGTCATATGAGAATATAAGGTTATTACGAGAATACCTCAAAGTATGCATGAAGACAGTACAGCTGGAGTATGCACGGCGTACTGTCTGAGTGCATACTTTGAGCTATTCTCGTAATAACATTACCGTACTTATCCAGCTAAGAGCCCATGCCTGGACAAACGCCCACCCCCCACTTTTGACACAATAAAGAAGTTGAGATCATATCCGGGCACACGCCTAGGGGGTCTTTTTCTACACAAAACAAAAAAACTATTTTTTATTTGTTAACTGTTGACTTTCTTGAAGTCTGTCGTGATACTTATAAAAATTGTTAATTGCGTAAAACTAAGGGTGAGCGCGTTCACCGCTGATTTTTTTTTTTCAGAATCATAACAGTCAGCAAGTCTATAAAAATAAATATTAAAGCAGAAACGGTAGTTCTCTTTTTGAAATATGTCGTGGCTCTAAAAAGGGCCGGTCGTTTGGTGTGTGCTTCCTCAGAAACGATTCAAGCAAATCGTACAAGGAGAGCCGCTAAGCAAGTGTCGCACTCGTTCGGCTTTAGCGTCGTCGACAATGAAAACAATGTTGCAATATTGTAGCAACCCGTACCAGGGAGAAAGGTTGAAATCACATTATTTTGGCTTTATAAATATTTTGCAGCAGCTTGCGAATCTATAACTGGGGCCAGCAATTTTGCAATGTCACGCCAAAGACTGCCAACTTTTTTACCATCTTTTATCACCGCTATTGCATTTCTGTCATGAAAACTATTCATCTGTCGTTGGATAAAAAAAAAAAAACTTCCTATTTCAAGTCCGCCGCGATATCCATATAGTGAGACATTCCAACCGCCGGAACTTGCTGAATGATAACTTTCACCGTGATTAATAAGCATCGAGTCTGATAAGAAAGCAATGTCACGATTTGACCTTTATGATGAAATACTAGTAGTGATGTCATTCTTAGCCAATCGGTAAAGCAGATGCATAAAGGTCAAAGATGATTGCTGGACTGTAAAAAAAAGCATCGTGCGAGTCGTTTGCGGCGGCCCAATTTTTCTTGTCTCTTTATTCTGATTAGACGTGAATTAAAAGTGCCAAGCTGACAGACTGCGAAATCCGTGGATTAA